ACTCTTGAAAGGGATTGGGGCCCAAAACCTTTTAAGTTTTTTGACGCATGGTGGCAGACTCCGAGGTTTACAGAACTATTAATTGAGCAGTGGAAGTCCTTTGAAGTGACAGGATGGAAAGGATTCTGCTTAAAGGAAAAACTGAAGAAGCTCAAAGGATTCTTAAAAGGATGGAGTAACGAGCAGATGGGGGACTTAGAATCTAAGATAGAGGAAGCAAAAAAAAGGTGGAGGACTAGATATAAGGGCCGAATCCCATTCACTATCTACGGATGAAGACAAAATGAGAAAAGCTTGCTAGGAGGAATTATGGAAGAATCTAAGGCTACAAGAGATGATGTGGAGACAAAAAGCAAGGAAACAGTGGGTAAAGGAGGGCGATGCCAACACTAAACTCTTCCACAGATGCGTTAAAGGGAGAAGAAGGAGAAATGAAATTAATAGTTGATGAGCTAAATTTATATACATATTAATAGGGAATTTTTACTTTGATATTATTGATATTTGAATGAGTTTTATGGGATTTTATTTGATTTTACATGATTTTCATTCTTTGTGTAGGAAAGGATTTAATTGAAAGAAATCTTATTTTTTAGAAGTAAATTGAAGAGATCAGAGACTTGAGGATCAACTTGTGCAGAATCCAGAAGTCAGGAACCAGATCTGCCATTTTACCATTGAAGAAATTGCAGAAGGAGGCCAAAAACCCGACACGGGTGTAGTGTCGACACATTATCGGGGTGTCGACACCATGCGCTAAACGTCTAGAATCAGCTTCTGTTTCCTATTTTGTGTCAACACGCAATCCGAAGTGTCAGCACCACGCGATCAGCATCTAAAATTCAGTTTCCTATTCCTATTCAAAGTCCTACTTCTATTTCAATTAGGGTTTCTAAAATCCTATAAATACTCATCCAAATTCAGAATGAAGAGAGCTTGGAGAGGCTTGTAGCAGCCTTCTTTGGGCACTCTTAGAGATCAAGATTGAGGTTCCATCAACAATAGAAGATCAAGGAGTTCGATTTCCTCAAATTGGGTTTTATTTTTCCTTGGGTTTTTATTTATTGTTTGATATTTGAATGTTCATAACTTTGATTTCATATTTTATTCTTTTTACTATGAACTGATTTATTCTACTAGGGCTACGATGTAGCCTAATCAATTCAATATGGATTTTGTGATTTTATATTTTCAATTAAAGTTATT